GTTTCATATAAACAATACAACACTGTAAACTGCATGCGAATCCCTGCCAGGCTGCATCACCGGGTCTCTGGTACTTGGCACCACTACTTCATCGTCCTCCTCTTCTTCCTCCTCTTGCGACTCCTGATCGATTTGCTCCTGCTCAGCCTTGTAGGGCTCCGACTTCTCAGGATGATGCGGATTCCACGCTGCGAGGTCCGCCAGCGCACCGGCAGGTGCCAGTGGAACACTGGGCTGAATTTCTGACATGAATTGAAGTTCCACAAGTTTTGGCTGCAGCCTCTCCCACACAGCATTCGCCAAACTCGACACCATCTTCTCAATTGAAGCTCGAGCTGAACTGTTGCTCGGCAGTGCAGCACCAGCACCTAGGAATGTCTGAAAGCATTCCCCAACAGCCATCTCATATGCCTGCATCATCGGAAGTGTTGGGTTTGCTGGCGGCTTCGGAGGAAAGGCAGGTTCAGGTGGATGTGTTGCTGCCCGACTTGCACCCGGATGTGACGGACGAGACTTGGGCGGAGCTCTCGGTTCCGGCACACCCTCTGATTGCTCAACATCAATCACTGCCGACTTTGGCGGCTTTGAAGGCATGCTTTTCACAGGAGGTGCTGGCCTTGCTTTTGCTGTTGCCCCAACTTGTGCTGATGCCCGTGCTTTTGCTGGTGCCTCTGCTTTTGCTGGTGCCCCTGCTTTTGCTGGTGCTCTTGGTTTTGCCGGTGCTCCAGCTTTTGGTCCTGCCCCTGCCCCTGCTTGTGATGCTGTTGCCCCGGCCTTTGTTTTTTTTGCTGGTGATGCTTTTGAAGGATCATTCCAATCTTGGGGAGGCCATGCTGGAGCTGGCACTGGTGGCCTGGCAAAAGCCGGAGTAGCAGAACTGGAGGATACAGGATCACGACCCTCTGTCGTGCCCTCATCGTCATCTTCCTCCGGGGGCTCACGTTGAGCAGTTCTTTGTCTTTTGGTATCTGGCAGCACCTCAAATGCTTTGCATTGAAGACGACACACACACACACACTCAATTGAGGATGCAGTAGGACACTCAATTGTGACTGAAATGTTTTTATTTATTCTTGAATTGAAGCAGAAGCGAAAAATTGTAGTGCTGCTCCCAGCTGCTGCTGCGGCTGCAGCAGTTCTTCTTTTCTTGTTCTGATTTCGCTTCTGATGAATCATGGCAGGTTGGTCCACGGGATGATCCTGCTTGTCCAACTCCATTCTTTTTGTCAAGTTCCTGAGTCACAGTGGTACGTGTTGGCACTACAGGGAAGACTGCAAATCAAATCAAAGCGGAATTCGAGTCAAGCCACAGCTGAATGGAAGCATAATCATTCTTATCTGCAAATTGTTCGGTCCATGTCGACCAAGCATGGCCCAATGCTTCCTTCCATTGCTCCGACGTCCAACCAATGGACGGCAGGAGTTGCTTCTGCCTCCTGATCCACACTTTGGCAGAACCATGGATTACATTTACAAATATCTAATTATTACAACCTCAAAACAACAATCGGAAATTTGAAATTGCTGAGCGGCACATCAAAGCCCCGGGCGAAGTCGATAATGTGTTGTTGATCGTCAGCGATGTTTCTTCCCTGGTCGTGATTCTCATTCTGGACTAAAGTGTCGAACCATGCAACGCAGTCGATGCCACAGACCTGCACTGACAGCTGATACTTACATAAAAACTAGACCATTGAGTGTCACAGTCAATGAGTCAATAATTCAGCACAGCGACTTTGAAGAGAGCCATGAGAATTGCAATCATTGCACACGTCCTGTGGTAGCCCGCGGAACAGCAGATCCTGACAAGTCAAGGACCACGTAGGAGGGTTACCATTATCCTAATCCCTGAACCTAACTTCCGAGACCTTCAGCATTCAAAGACTCGAGAAGCCTGAGCAACTTGTGGGGAAAATTGAGGATGAAGTGGAGCGTCTTGAGTGCTGCGGGATGACGATACACCTCGGTCATTAGGGTGCAGGTTTATTATTTATTATACAACTCGATTCATGAAGCAACACTTGTTCGACCAGGCACCTGTGCCATGGTACGCTGGTATAGGCCACAATCTTTGCCAAACTTTTTTCCATCGGCATCCCTTGGCTTCCATCCATGACTGTCACTGTCACTGCCCTCAATTGTCAATTGAGTGAAACTGAATTGAATGAAAAATGTACAAATGTCATGAAGCTTCTTCACGTGCATTTCATCCTGCAAGCGAACCTCCCAAGGGTTGGACCAGTCACCTCTCCAACAATTTTGTCACCTGAGGTGGTGGACGATTTCCCGTCTTGGCAACCCCGTAACCAACGATCACGACTCTCTTCGGCCAAACGTAGGTTTTGCTGCCCAAGTGAACTGCAAAGCTCACGTTGTCAACAGAGCTCACATCAGCACCATCAATAGCCGGTTCGTTGTCTCTTGTGCTTCTGGGGGTCCTGCCATCTGCTTCCCCAATCATCGTCGTCCTCCTCCGCGCGCCCCAAGTGGGAACTTTGCGTCGGCTCGTCTGCTTTCCGGCCGGAGTAGTGTGCGACATCGAAAGTGCTGTACTCTAGCCCCAAGCTGATATTGTGCCTCGAATGAACACGGAATTGTAATGATTTTAAAGGTTAAGCTCAAAAAAACACAGGGCTGCATCAATCTTTGCCAAAGTGCTCTTTAACGTTCTTGTTACAGGCTGACAGAATCCAGGCGTCTGGTTTGTGGATGCCGACTCTTCCTTCTTTGAAATTTTTCCTCAAATGTCGCTGAATTGAAACAATGACATGTCAGGTGGCAAATTATTCTCAATTGGAAATTGTCTGAAATGTGCTGCAGGTGTCACAAGATCACCAGCCTTTCTCGGGGAGAGCAAATAGAGCAAGTAGATTGCTTGCTGTGCTTTCCGGAGATCCTCGCCGTCCTCCTCCTTGACACGCAATTCGTCAGGGAGCTGCTGGAGGGCCACACTCGACATATAAATTTGAGTCTGAGAATTCCCAGAATAATATGCGTCACCTGAGATGTCAACAGTTATGTGTCACTAGGATTCTGTATGTACAATAGCACAGCTTGAGCCAGAACTGCAGCATGAGGTTAACAATACAAGGGGCTCACAATCAATCACCAAGCAAGCTGACACACACACACACACACACTGACTGAGCCTTCCGCACAAATATCAGATGCCTTGGGAAAACGACTTCACCTGGCAAAATGCAAATTTCATGCCAGCCCTGCCCCCCCCCCGGGTCTGTCAAAACATGCCAGGCACACCTTGCCATTGATGCTACCAGCAGCATGCTACCACAATTGATGCTACTGTGCCAGCCCTGCCCCCCCCCCCCGGGTCTGTCAAAACATGCCAGGCACACCTTGCCATTGATGCTACCACAATAAGTATTATACTACCGCGCAGCATGCTACCACAATTGATGCTACCACAGTCGATGCTACCACAATTGTTGCTACCACAATTGACAAATTGATGCTACCAGAACTGATGCTACCAGAATTGATGCCACCGCAACAATCGAATCAACCAAGCCAAGCAATGCCATGCTGACTACTTCAATTGATGCTACCAGAATTTATGCCACCACAACAATCGAAGCAACCAAGCCAAGCAATGCCGTGCTGACTACCACAATTGATGCTACCAGAATTTATGCTACCAGAATTGGCACCACCGCAACAATCGAAGCAACCAAGCCAAGCAATGCCATGCTGACTACCACAATTGATGCTACCAGAATTTATGCTACCAGAATTGGTACCACCGCAACAATCGAAGCAACCAAGCCAAGCAATGCCATGCTGACTACCACAATTGATGCTACCAGAATTGATGCTACCAGAATTGACGCCACCGCAACAATCGAATCAACTTGCAAGCCAAGCAATGCCATGCCGACACAGTAACGGCCTCCCCAGCGTCTTTGCAAACACGAGCGTGCTCTGACAGTCATGCGGACTGGAGACTTCTTTAAATGCCACCCCCATTCGGCCAAGATGGGGTCACCCCGCTGAGTATGCGCCGGCAAATCAGGGCCTTGGACGTCGTGCTTGCCTTCTTTGCCCTATGCGGAGCGCTGAAATCCAATTGCCCTGCATACAGGCCCGCAAGACGACAGGTCATGCTCGTCATCGAGTGCACCGGAATCGCTGCGCGACACGCCGGTTACTGAAGACCTGTCAATGAGGCACAGCATAAGATGCCATGCGGGGCCATGCCGGCTTGCAGCGGTGGGCGAAGTATTCAAGACTTCGACCGTGGTGTGGGTAAGTGGCATAGTATATGTTAGTAAGGCCTTCCCTGCAATCTGTGTGCATTTCACCCCGCGGCGGACACACCACCAGGCAAGCAGCACACAGAGTAAATCCCCAGCGCCCGGCCAGCGACGCTGTCCCGCACGGATCAAGGACCCATTGCTCACGTGGTCCGAGCCCGACTGGAGCGGTCTGTAAGACCACTCTGAGCTGGGGCGTGCAGGATGGGTAGGGCGAGAAGCAAGCCAACCAAGCCAACCAAGCAACCAAGCCAACCAAGCCAACCAAGCAGTGGCACGTGACGTGACAAAGGACCACGTTTCAGCTTCCAACACAACCGGCTTGGACAGAAGTGAACACCATCGCTTAATACATCCGGCTTGGACAGTGCAAAAATGTTTGGCAAAAAAGGGTTTCCTCACGCAGGCTTGCTAGTGTGCTCGGTACTGAAATTCCTAATATAATACACTTCAAGAGTTGGTCTGCGAATCTCTTGCTGCCGGCTGCACTCGAAGTCAGCAGGCACACGAAAGCTTCTTTCCCATTGGGCGCTGCGATTTGGCTCTGAATCCCTCCCTTGATGTGAAAACGCCAGCCGGGACGCAAAGGTGAGCTCGCACAACGAGTTGCGCAGTGCAGCTCCAGATTCAAAGTCCTGGCAGGATCTTCACACAGGGGAAAGAGAGAAGAAAAGTCGTAGGGCACCAGGTTCGGGCGCCTTGTCACTTGCAGGTGGTCCCGGTTGCTCTTTAAGGGCAATCGCGACACTTGCGAAAAGTTCGAAAAGCGGTGCCGTTCAGGTGTCCACACTGTTCGGTCGTATGGTACACGCGGCCGGTGGGAGCCAGGTGAACGTTGCCATCTTGCACGGGAGCCGGAGGTGGAGGCGCAGCACGTGCCTCACCAAGCAGCCGCTCTAGGCCTTGAATCTCTCCTCGCAGCTCCACATTGTAGTGGCGCAGGCGGTCGATCTCATTGTCGCGCTCCCGGACCATACAGTCGTGGTGGTGGTCTCTCGTTCGGAGGCCGCGGTTGAACTGTGAGTGGTCTGGGTCGGTCTGGGTCCCCGTCGTAGCTGTCCGCAGAGTCGGCGTGGTACTCGAGGAAGTCGGCGTTGTGCTCGTTGAGGTAGGCGTCGTGCTCGTAGAGGTAGAGGATCCACGTAGAAGCGCCCATCCAGCGATGATGCCGAAGAGGATCGCCAGGAAGGTCACCAGGATCATGGTCGTGGCGTTGTACTGGATCGTGCCGTAGAGACCCACCTGCACCTCGTGCTCCATCAGCTCTCCAGCGGTTGTGGTCACGTGGTTGGCCAGGAGGATCGTGGAGATCTGCCGGGCGGCGCGAGAGCCGTATGCTTTGTCTCCGAAAGCTTCAGCAACAGAACGCTGGCGCTCTGTCCAGCTTTTCTTCTTGGCCGCCACAAACTCCTTGTCGTAGGTGAGGCAGAGCTTCCCGGTGTACAAGGCATCAGCCATGCCCTGTCGGGCAGCCAATTTCGTAGCACCATCAGCCAGCATCTGCTCCGAAGACACCCAGCGAAGGGAAGTGCCTAGGGCCCTGAGCTCCTCTTGAACACAGCGAATCTCGATCGCTGACCGCTTGTCCTGCCCCGAAGTGAAGCCCTTCTTGAGGATGGCGTCGTAGAGGGCCTTCGCATCGATCACCAGAGCAGAGGTGCCAAAGTCCTTGGCTGTGGAAGGTGCCCTTGGATCGAGACGAGGGTCAAACATAAGGGCCAGCATCGTCTTGGCCATCATCAGCTCATCCAGGGCGAAGGCACTTGCCTGGCTCTCGGCAGCAAGGCTCGAACGGCAAACCCTGGGCAACCGAAAGGAGCGCCACGAAAGGAGGTTGTAGGGCACGCGTTTTCCTTCCAGAGCTGCCCGGGTGGTGAGGACCAACACGTAGCCTCCTTGAGAGCCGCAGTCCTGTCGCACCCCAAAAGCTGCGTCGCTGTAGCACAGGAAACACAAATCCTCCAACCCCTTGGCAACACGGCTCATGAGGAGGGGCTTGGAGTTCGTCTTGGCGAAGCGCAGGGTCTTGTTGAGCTCGGTGACCAAGTTCCCGTCACTGGCGTTCACTGTAGAAGCCAGGATGCTCACCGACGCGGCTAGCGGCGGAACTCCTTGGCTTGCGGGCCACTGGAGAGCCCCTATGAGCCCACGTACCTTCGAGATCTCGGCGGGGCTGAGCTTCTCAGAGACATCCCTTTTCTTGGGCACCGTGATCGGCAGCACTTTCTTGAGGTAGTCGCCGTAGTCCAAGAGGATCCCCTCTTTGGTCTTTGTGAGCTTGCCTCCGCAGTAGACCAGAGGCTTCCCCTCCTGGAGCTCCTGCCATTTGCCGAAGTCGAAGGCCTTCTTCAGCTAGAGGAGGGCCTCCAAGAAGGTCGGGGAAGAAGGATCACCACCCACCAACAGGTCGTCGACGTGGAGGATCAGGGCCCCTACCAACTTTCCCTCCTTGTCGTAACGAAGGAAAAGGCACTGGTCCAGGGAGTTCTCCACTTGCCGGCGTGCAGCCTGCGAGTCGCCTCTTGGAACCACAGCAAGGGAGCGTCGGCCAGGCCGTAGGCAGACTTCAGCATCTTCATGAAGACAGGGCCTCCATGGGTGGCTCCAAGAAGAGGACCGCAATCGGTGGGAAGCCGTACAATGATCCTCCTCTCGAAGCTTGCCCCCGACAGAAAGGCAGTACGAACATCTCCACAGTACAGGTGCCAGCCCATTATCGGCGAAATGGCTAGGACCAACATCTTCGACTGTCGGGTTGCCGTGGGGCTCGCCTTGTCCAAGGAGAATAAGTCAGGATCTTGAAAACCTCGCAAAACGAGGCGTGCTTTTGCACGCGGCACTCCTCCGGCGGCCTCGGGCTCCTTCCAAGTCAGAACCCATCTTGCCGTCACTATCCGGTCGCGGTCTCCTTCCTCCAGCTCGGTGAACTCCCAAACGTTGTTGGAAAAGTAGCTCGTGAGTTCCTTCCTTTTGGCCTCCATCATGTTTGCTCGCTCCTCCGCCGTCATCTTCTTGGTGCTCACCTCTCTGGAGAGCCACACCTCATCCATGGCAATCTCCCCGTCGATGATAGTCCAGCCCTTCGGCAGGTCGTCAGCTGCCCGGCCACCGTCCACCACATACACGTCGGAGACAATCAGGTCGCTGTCCCCATCGGACGGCACAGGCACCATCTCGGCATCCAGCCCGGCGGGCGGGACATCTTGGGGAGGAGAAGTAGAAGACGAAGCGGGAACAGGAGCAGCAAGGCCAGGAGGATCAGCGCGCGTGCGCTTGGGCGGGTTGGGTGGGACTCCTGCTTCAGAGGGCGACGGCTCCGGCTCTTCCATGCTGCTGTGGCGGCGCCGCCGCGGCTGCGACTGCTGGTAAAGAACAGCGGCGCCAGGCACGGGAAATGCATCCAAACCGCGCTCGTCATCAGCATCGGAAGCCGGGGGAGACGGTGAGTAATCGGCCACGTCGTGAGGTAGATCGCCGTTGTCACCCAGGGCATCCTCAAGGACCGGTTCGTATTCGTAGACGTCGCGAAACTGGGTGGTGCTCCGGGCTCTGATGTCGTAGAGGTCGGCGAGAGCAGCAGAGGGGTCTGCAACAGGGGCACACCCGGTGTCTTGCACAAGTGGTCGCACTTGGTGAGGCCCGCACCGCAACAAGTTGGCGCCGTGAGCGATCCAGACCACAGTTTGTTTGTTCTCGTCGTTGGTCTCGATGGCCACCACACGTGCCGGTCCCCTCCACTTGGACTTTTGTAGAATGCCTGTTCCTTGGATGCGCCAGTACCAGCACTTTTGTCCCACAGCCACTTGGTCCTTGACCTCGTTGTAGAGCCGGTTCATGGAGCGTCGTAGGCGGGCAACTGTGTCGGCACGTAGGAACGCTTGTTGCGCAGCAAGTCGGACCTGTTGTAGGCGGGCAAAGTCTGTGGGCTCGTCCATGGGGTCAGCACCGGGGTTGAAGAAGTCGCCGCTCAAGGTTGTAGAGGTTAGCGGCTGGCGACCAGTGACCCATTGGTTTGGTGTGAACCCTCGCACGAAGCTCAAGTTGTTGATCTGGCCAGGCACATACACAAGGGCTTCCTTGAGGTGGCTGAGCGTGCGGCCGCCTTTCTCATCCATGTAGATCTCGAGGGCTCGGCGGACCACTTGGTGCTTCCGCTCCACTGCTCCCAGCCAGTTGTGGCACTCGGCGGGGGCGATCTCCAGGGTGATGTTGTTGGTTGAGCTCCATTCCCTCAGTGCTTTGGACGACCAGCCCTTTGCCTCGTCGATGCGCAGCATCTTTGGTACACCAAATTGTTTTATCCATGATCTCTCGATGCCCTTGATGAACTCGGTCGCTGTCTCACTCTCAAGAAGGCGCACTGCCACATAGCGAGTGGCCTGGTCCATCACGGTCAGAACACAACGGCGGCCCCCTTCTATGTCAATCCAGGCACTGTCGGCAAGAAGCCTGTCGCCAAAGTTGCGGGCCATCAGGCCGGCTGCCGGGGGAACACCGGGTGAACGTCGTCGAGCATAACACGTTGGACACACATAGCCCTTTGCCGCCTCAATCACGTTGGTCGTGGCTTGGACTTCCTCCAGCATGCGAACCAGCACATCAGAGCTCGGGTGTCCAAGGTTCTTGTGGAGACGGGTCACGTAGTTCAGGGCTTGGCTGCCTACCTTCGAACGAAGTTCCCGGTTCTTTCGGCTCACGTCCTCGGTGTTGTCTGTTGGTTCCTGGTCCGGGTTCGCCATCTCGCTGTCCAGCAGGTCACCTGCATCGCTAGGTGGGGCAGCCGTCGTTGCATGAATGTCGTCGGCCACCTCGGGGAACACCAGCAGTTTTGCAAGGTTCTCGGCTAGCTTCTGGGGGTAGTTGCCGGAAGCTTGTTCATGAAGGTCTGGGTTGGCAGGCTCATCGTTGTCACTGTGGTGGTCGTGGTCCCCTTTGCATTGCCTCTGTAACTTGTAGGCCACCGTCCGCCTTGTGCTGAAGAAGCAAATGGCCTTCTTCATCAGCTTGTTGTCGTTGTTGTTGCCGTCGGGCAGGGTGAGGCCGTACTCGCATTGGTCCACATAGCCACTGTGACACTGTGCCCCTGGAGCCGGGCCAAAGCTTTGGTCATCCAGGCCCGAGACGACCAGGGCAACTCAATGTGGGCGTGTCGGCCGGCGCGGCGCTGGGTCTCGAAGAGCACCGCCGTGAACACAAGGATCTCGTCGTGGTGAACTTGGCGTCGCCGTCGTAGTTCAGGTCCTTTGCCAGGGTCGCCGTTCACCACCTTGTCCAGCATAGGGCTCCAAAGTCGCGCAGGAGGCGTGATAAGGATCTCATCGGGCTGTTCTTCCTGCACCTTCTGCACGAGCCTTCTCCGGACCTTTGGCTGTGACAGGTTCCAGCCCGTGTTCTTGCAAAAGTTTTGGGACTTGCCACCTTGCTGGGAAACCTCTTTGCTGAGGCGTCCTCCTCCGGAGAACACCTGCCACACCACACGCTTGTTGTCGTCGTTGACCTTGCTGGCCTGGGCGAGGAGGTTCTTCTGCTTCTTTGCTGCGGCCTGGGCTTGCATGATCAATCCACGTAACTTCCCCTTGCTTAGGGCTTTCACCTGGCCGCCGGGCAAGGCAGTCACCTCCTTCTCCGTGTTGTTGTGGCTGTCGTTCGTCACCTTCGGCTCGGTCTCGGTCGCGGTGCCCCGGGTCGGGGCGAAAGTGTTGGAGTCGTGCGCAAAAGCAGGGAACACATTTTTACCGTCATTGGGCTCGGTGTTGTCGTTGTTGTTCGCGGTCCCCGGGTCGTTCTCGGCGTGCTTTCCAAGGTTCGCTTCCTCAAAGGCAGCAACGGCTTCAGGGACGAGCAAGAACTCGCCGATATTCTCAGGAGCCGTCACATCGACATGGTTCGTGTAATCGTCGGGCGCCAGGATCTCGTCGTACGGGGTGTCGTCGAGGAGGCGGGTCACGTCTTCCGAAAGGATCAGTTGGTGCTCGCCTCGGGAACCCAACGGTATTGGCTTCCACTCACCGTCCTTGATCCTCATTGTCTCGTTCTCGTAGTCCACGGTGACCCCCAATTGCTTGAGCAGGGGCCGGCCAAAGAGCAAAGGAGCATTGCCCTCGATGACATACGTCAGGATCTGCAGCTTGCGGTCCTCCAGCACCATGGGCAAGAGGAGACACTTGCTTGCACCACCGGTGGCCGAGTTGCCAAAGCGAAAGTTCTTGGCACAAGGAAAGCAGGGGATGCCGGAGAGATCCACACCCTTTTCGAGGAGGTACCTCAGGTAGTTGCGGACGGCCACGGTGCTCCCCAACACACTGGCAGCACCACCATCTTGAACAGCTCGGTTGTTGGACTCGTCCTCGTGGTCCTCGTCGTTCAAGGCGTAGCTCTCGGCAATCATCATCACGTCGTCCTCGTCCTCCATCTTCCGCTTCTTGTCGCCGGTGGTCGCCGAAGGGCAGTTCCTTGCCCAGTGTCCTGACTGTCCGCATCGCAGGCAGATTTGCCTGCCCACGGCCTGTCTGCCACGGGCCTTCGCTGTGGACCCCTTGGGCGAGACAGGCCCTTGCTTTCCACCGCCGGTACCCTTGCCCTTCTCTTTGCCGCGCTTTCCTTTGCCGCGGCCTTTTCCAGCACCTCCGGGGCGAGCTCCACCTCCTTGGCCACGGTCCACCAGGGCAACCACAGGGTAGAAGCCACGGCTCACGCGCAAGTTGTTGAGCTTGGCCTTGGCATCCGTGTAGGAGGCATAGACCTCGTCGAACTCGCTCACATCGAAGATCTCCTCCTCGACGGCGTTGTTGGCCTCGTGGTCGTAGTAGTCCTCGTCGTGGTCCGGCCATGGCGTGCCGGCGTCGCCGTCGTCCTGCCAGTACGCTGGTTCCCAGTCCTCGGCCGGGAAGTCGTCGTAGTAGTCATCCTCGACGGTTGTAGAAGGCCGATTCGCCGCGGGACTTGCTCCACCTCGGTTCCAGGCGAGAGTCCTGTCCCAATATGAAGTTCATGGCCTTCTGGACATTCTCCAGGGTGAGGTTGTCGGCACCGACGTTCGTGAGCACCAGGTTGTTGTTCACGTCCGATGCCGCTCCGCCGAAGAAACCACCACGAAAGGACCTTCTCAGGGAGAGTGACCGAGTGGGTCACGCGCAGCTGCCGCTCAGATCTGGAGAACTCGGCGGCATACTCCTGCAACGTCTGGCTGGGCTTGCGGTTCAGCTTGACAAAGAAGGTCTCAAAGTCCTCGGGCAGCTCGGTGAGCGGCTCGTACTTGAAGCCGCGGTCCAAGCGCTCGAACACGGCGTTGTAGCCACCATCGCTCTGAAAGGTCTCGGTGCTCATGTCGTCGATCATGTCCCAGGCCTTGCCGGTCAAGAGCGTGACGATATTGAAGATCGTCTCCTGCTTCCTGCCGGCGAGCTCCATCTTGACGCGGTACAACTCACATCGCTTCCGAAACTCCTTGTACGAGCGCTGGCTGTTGTCAAAGACGGGAACGTACTGGTCGGCTTTCCCCGTAGTGGCGCCGGTTCCTGCAAGCTGGCCTTCAGAACCAGCCGGCTTGCCATTCCCTTTTCCATTGCCACCCATCAGATAGCGGTAGCGAACCTCGGAGCACTGCTTTGGCGCAATGCTCCGCTACCAACTTCAAGAGTTGGTCTGCGAATCTCTTGCTGCCGGCTGCACTCGAAGTCAGCAGGCACACGAAAGCTTCTTTCCCATTGGGCGCTGCGATTTGGCTCTGAATCCCTCCCTTGATGTGAAAATGCCAGCCGGGACGCAAAGGTGAGCTCGCACAACGAGTTGCGCAGTGCAGCTCCAGATTCAAAGTCCTGGCAGGATCTTCACAATACATAAATAAGCTAATGCTACAACAGCTTGAAACACTATGTCGGTATATTGAACTGCACTATTGAGAAAATTGGTTTTGGCCTTCAAACCCCACTGATCCAGCCCCCACTGATCCAGCCCTCAAAACGAGTATATCGATCTGTCCTGGTTGATGCGACGAGGAAGGGAGGTGCATGTTGATGCCTCCATACACAACAGTAGGAGGGCTCTGTCCTCCCGTTCCTGCTGGCTCCCCGTTCACCGGGCACTTGTTCCGGCTCTTCCTTGTGGTGGCTCGGGGCTCATCGCTAGTGGGGCTCTCACTGACGGCACTATCAATTGCCGCCGCAACCCGCTCTTGGAGCCTTCGTGCTCGTCTGTCTTTCTTGTCCAAAGCAACAGCCCTAAAGTGCGCGGTTGGCTCCGCAACTCTTCTGCTGCATGGCGACTTGAACGCCTCCCACAGAAACAGGGTTGAAAGGACGATCAACAAGGTCAAAACACCAAGTTCCCATGGCCACTCTATGGCAACCTCTGTTGCAGACTGCTCCTCCTCACTCGGACCACCTACACACAAGCACGCGTGCAGCAACACCGAAAGACTCTGGAAGCATGATGTTGTTGATGCGCTCACTTGTCTCACCGCAGGAGTTGATGTCAACGTAGGCTCAGAGTCCCCACCCAGCTGAATAAGCCCACATAGAAAGCGAACGCGAGCAGAGGGAAGAGGCTTTGTAAGGAGATCAGCTTTTTGGTACTCTCCCTTGCAGTGCTTGACCACCCAACCAGACTGAATTAGCTGGCGAATCTTGGGGCCCTTGATTTTAAAACGCCTCGTCCTTTGGTTGCCTGCACCTCCAATGAAAGAAATGGAAGCCGTGTTGTCCAGGTGAAGCTCGGCCGGCTGGTACTCCATGCCCAGATCGGCCAGAACGGTCATCAATGACTCCCCGTACATGCAACCTTCCACTGCCTGCGTCAGCTCAGCTTCCGACGAGCTGAGTGCGATCAGCGCTTGTTTGGAGGCTTTCCAAACCCGCTGGAACGCCAAACACCTCGACTATGTGACCCCCATAGGAATGCTCCCCCTGAGGAGAAAACGATGCATCTGTGTAGATCCTCAAAAGCGCTGCATCCTTCTCGGGTCGCAAGTGGGGCTTGTAGTCCTTCGTCTGAGGCAGGATGCAGGTAGGCTAGCAGACGTTGACCCACAGCAAGTGCTCCATGAGGGTCCTTTGAAACCTTCGAGCACATGATAGTTGTGGTGTACGTGATGTCGGCTCGGGTGCGTTGCGGCGATTTTTTGAGCGGCCTTGATGACCTGCTCATCTGGCTGCCCAGGTGAGTCCTCTTCCGTCGTAGCTTTCGCGGGCATATCACTTTGAACCTTGCACTGTCGGGTAGCTTGTGCGACTCCTGGTCCAAACTGAAGTGACCATCCTCGTAGCCGCACACTGCATTCCAGGAACCTGACAGGGCTCCCTGGTTTCGCTTCACTCAATCCGTCCGTTTCCCAGCCTGCGTGATCCAACATCTGGGGTAGGCCCGTAGGCCATGAGCTACTGTCCCTTCGCTGAGAATCAAGAAATCGTCCGCGTAGGTCACTGGGTAACCCACCAATTTCTGGTCTTGCTTGATCCTGCAAATCGAAGAATCGAAACTTCCTTGCTCCAAATGGCATCCCAGGAACTTGGCTGTTAGCAGCTTTGCATCCCTGTACTCCGACCACCAAGCCGGGGCTCCCTTGAAGCCATACAGGACCTTGACGTGGTTAGCGTCAAAGAGCATAGGAGACAAAGAGGTGCGACACGAGCAAGAGCACCACCATCACGACCATCGCTTCCAAACCTAGAACCCCTGAAAGGCCACCCACTTTACTGCCGTACGGAAGGACGGAATGACGGTGGGCACAACGGGCCCACAGTCTTTCGCATCCAGCACGAGCGCGTACTTGTGCAAGGCGTCTACCGTGAGCGGGAAGAGCTGGATCTTGTTGGCCTCTGCCCAAACTCCGCTGATGGCCTCTAACGTATCATAACACCAAGTGGCCTGACGGGAACCCTCACTCAGTTGCGGTGCTAACTCCTCAACCACTGCTAAGAAAGCTCTGCCTTTGGCGGTGGAAGGCTCCTGCCTTAGAAGAGCGCTTTCTACGCTGCGCTGCAAGACCTGAACCGCCACGTGGTTGGTAGTCTCCCTGCCTCCAAAGGGGAGAGGGACCTGCCCTGGAAGAGGCTTAAAGGGTTTACCTCTGGGTCGTCTTCCAACCTCTTGCCGTTCTCCGTGAGGGGAGGCGCAAACGTGTGCAGCCCTCCATGCTGCTTTTTGTGAGATGCGAAGCTGCACCTCCGTGTTTCTGGGGCGCAAATGGGAAGAGGAACCCTTCGACAGGCAGCTGGCGGTTGCAGTAATGGGACAGACCCAATGCTTTCGCCTTTCCCCTGCATGGATTTCTTCAACAATGGTGTGGTGGAAATGCCCTGGACTGGAAAGTCCTGTGCGCCTGCTGCCAACCGCGCAAATGATATCCATCCTCCGACGCCTGATGTTGGAATACCCTGTCTGGAGACTGTGGCTCATCGTATGCCAGTAGGATCAAAACCAACGAAGAACGGACCTCAACAACACCAAGCGATATTGGGGTCCCGAAAAACCCCTGCACTCTCCCAAAAGTGCGGCGCTTGTGGCCTTGTGCTGCACTGCCCGCCTTGTCCTCCTACTCCGTTGGGCCGTCCGCGGCTCCTCTCCTGGCTACGCCTGTCGGAAAGCTTTGCGGCCTCGGTTCGGTGACTCCTACGTGCTGTGGGGCCGCCACAAGCTTCCGGCAATGGCGTCGGGACGGTGGCCTGGAGTTCCTGTTGTGGGTACCCGCCACTTTTTTCTGCTGCTCTTACTCTGCTCTTGTTCCTGCTTGCGGAGACTCTGCATCCAGACGGTGCATCTCTTCGAAGCTTTCGGTGCACTCTTTCTTTTTTGCTTGTCGGGCTTTATCTGGAGTGCTGCTTTAGGCGCGACGAGGGCATGGAGTTTCCGGGCTCTCGCCTTGGCTCAGCTGTTTCGAGGTTGGCGGGTGCTGCCTGGATTTTGTCCGGCAAAGTCTCTCGTCTGCAGCTTCTCACAGTTGTCTGGTTGCTCCCAAGACTAATTCTGGGTCCACAGCGGCTGGGTCTTGCCTGTCTTTTTTGCGAGGCTGGAGCTTTGGCGAGCTGGGAGCTGTTGCAGCCAGCATGCTCATCGCTCCACTCTTGCAAATCTTGTCCATGCTCTGCATGGACATGCCACATAGGGTTTGGTGGCCACTGCACCCGGCCCGGCTACAGGGGTGAGAAAGCAGGAAGTGGGCACCGCCGGAGCAACCAAGTGAGCTAACTGCCCGCACCCACCTGTAATTCGAGGGCTCGATCCACAATGGCCTCGAGCCACAACAAAAACAACAACAGCAACAGCAACAGGAACAGAAGCCAAAACGGCAGCAGCAACGACAACAACAACGACAACAGCAGCAGCAGCAGCAGCAACAGCTGCCAGCAACACTGCGAAAATCGGACCGGCAGCACGATCTTTCCGACAACATGACTGCCACGGTCCACCTGGGAGCGGGAGCTTGTTTGACTGTCCTCGGCCGATGCGCTGGCCTCAGGAAACCCAAATGCAGCTCAGAGGCTTATAAAACGTTGAATGGGGACAGTCTCGCAGGCCCCAGTTTTGTTCCGATCTGACGAGGTTCGTCCTTTGTTTTGGTTCTGTTCTGGAGTGGCTTTCATAATCATGTGCACCTGCTGCCTTAAGACTGTTTCATGTACATGCTTTCGATGCTGCTGATAGACAAATATTTCGATTCCCGCACGTGCACGATGCACTCCTCGGCAACTTCTGGGTTGCAACCTAGTCCGAGGCACAACAGGAACATTGGATACAACGAATGGACATACTGGCTGAAAACGAACAGCAGTCTCGGCGGACACCAGTGTCTTGAGGGACTCTCGCAGTGGCAAGCTGGGCGTGCCACAGTCGAAACTTTCTGTCTCTTCTGCGCCGGAGCGACAGGGGCGCCGTGATCCTCTGGACAAGAAACTCGCCATGCGAGCAGGTCCGCAGCGCAAGGCTCAGTCACAAGCTATCGAAAGCGTCGTCCTCCGCATACTGGACAAAACGCCGCATGCCCAGGCTGGCATCCGGCCTCGTCCCAAGACATCAAACATGAAAGGAAGAAGTAGCTGATGCTGCGCTGCTGATGTTCTTGCCGTCGGCAGCTGCAAAGAGGTCGTAGAAGTTGTAGGAATAGGAGCAGGAGTAGAAACAGTAGTGGTAGTGGCAGTGGCAGAGGCAGAGTAGCAGTAGTAGTGGCAGTGGCAGTGGTCATGGTAGTGGCACTGGCCGTAGTAGTAGTAGTAGTAGTAGTAGTAGTAGTAGTAGTAGTAGTAGTAGTAGTAGTAGTAGTAGTAGTAGTAGTAGTAGTAGTAGTAGTAGTAGTCGTAGTAGTAGTAGTAGTAGTAGTAGTAGTAGTAGTAGTAGTAGTAGTAGTAGTAGTGATAGTAGTACCAGTAGTAGTAGTTGTTATTGTAGTAGCAGCAGCAGTAATTCCAGTAATAGTAGTCGTAGTAGTAGGTGGCAGTAGCAGTAGCAGTAGCAGTAGCAGTAGCAGCAGCAGTAGCAGTAGCAGTAGCAGTAGCAGTAACAGTAGCAGTAGCAGTAGCAGTAGCAGTAGCAGTAGCAGTAGCAGTAGCAGTAGCAGTAGTAGTAGTAGTAGTAGCAGCAGTAGGAGGAGTAGTAGTAGTGGTGGTCGGAGTAGTAGTAGTAGTAGTAGTAGTAGTAGTAGTAGTAGTAGTAATAGTAGTACCAGTAGTAGTAGTTGTTATTGTAGTAGCAGCAGCAGTAGTTCCAGTAATAGTAGTCGTAGTAGTAGGTAGCAGTAGCAGTAGCAGTAGCAGTAGCAGTAGCAGCAGCAGCAGTAGCAGTAGCAGTAGCAGTAGCAGTAGCAGTAGCAGTAGCAGTAGCAGCAGCAGCCGCAGCAGCAGTAGCAGTAGCAGTAGCAGTAGCAGTAGCAGTAGCAGTAGCAGTAGCAGTAGCAGTAGCAGTAACAGTAGCAGTAGCAGTAGCAGTAGCAGTAGTAGTAGTGGTAGCAGCAGTAGGAGGAGTAGTAGTAGTGGTGGTCGGAGTAGTAGTAGTAGTAGTAGTAGTAGTAGTAGTAGTAGTAGTAGTAGTGGTAGTGGTAGTGGTAGTGGTAGTAGTGGTAGTGGTAGTGGTAGTAGTAGTAGTAGTAGTAGTAGTAGTAGTAGTAGTAGTAGTAGTAGTAGTAGTAGTAGTAGTAGTAGTAGTAGTAGTAGTAGTAGTAGGCAGTGGTAGTGGAAATAGTAGTGGTAGCCGTTGCAGCAGCAGCAGCAAGAGCAGTAGCCGCAGTGGTCGTCGTCGTCGTGGCAACAGCAGTCTGTTGCTAATGAGGACCACTTCCATGCGGAAGTGTTCGTCAAGTGCTCTCGCATTCTGATACTACAGTATACCGCATCACCAGTGCGTCTTGAGCATCGGAGACGAACTGCGCAGACGGCTTCGCCAACGACGTGACAATGGAGCAGTTGCTCAATGCAAATACCTGCTGTTACGACACGGTAGAGCACTGGTAGCTGAAGAAGAAGAACAAGAAGAAGAGACCCTGCAGGATGAAATACCAGCTGCAACCCCACAAGTACCACATCCCGTGCACACACTGCAGTTTTACAGACACAAGCACTTCACCATTATGGTGAAATCGCATGTGAGTGCGATGATTCTCAAGTGGCGAAGCGGAGATGTTCTGAGCTCTTTTTCACATATACCTACACAAATGTTCTATGCACTATCACTCACCGCCTTGTCCAAGAAGAATGAATCACAGCGATGGTCTTAGACATCGCTGCAGTCGAAAATGATTCGTACCACAATGACTTATCATTGGGCTTGACAAACAGAGCAGCAATGTTCAGGTTGGCACGGCAACATGTTAGCACTTCTGGCAATCATCAGACTTGACGTCGAAGAGCGGGACCTGCGGCAGGGCACCGGCGATTCCTTCCGCGCCCCCCATTGAGGAGAAACCGAATGGCTTCGCGCAACCAGGTTTCAATTACATCTGTTTCCGCAGTCACCCAGAAAGATCTCTCCTCGAGCCTTCGACCCACGTCACCTCCACAAGCCAGATTGATTTTTTATTTCGAAGTTTGACAGCACCAGTCACGAATCTCACAGAACAGTCATCGACTGCAGAACCGAAGCATCTCCTTACCCAGAAATTGGAAAGTGTGGCAACGCGCAGCAAGAGCGCCTCAGCCTGTCCTTGAAAGCAGACCAAGCGTGGCAGCAGCCTCAGTGCATTGACGGCCGACCAAGTCAAGTCGAAAGAGTCGTATAGTCGTGTACATTTTGCTCCTGGTGACCGCTTGTCGGTAGCTTGCCTTCAAGCCTTCGACGTTGAATGGCAGCTAGGAAGGACCAGAAAACACCAAAACTCTCCCTCAGAACGCTCGCGCCACCCTGGGGCCCGGAGACTCTTCGCTGCTTCCCTTTGAGCAAAGCTGCCAAGTAGTAGCCAATTTTTTGCACGCTGAAGGCATTCACACGGACGCCTTTCATGTAGAAGCCAGCTTGGCTCTGGATGATGTATTGGACCTCACTCGCTCTGTGGGACTTCTGACGGTAGTCGGTAGACTAATCTCCACGATCTTGAACCCTGAAATGCCCGCATATGCCCGATCCGTGAACGTGACCCACTGAAACGTTCAATCCGGGCGCGGGACGGCATGCATCCCGCGCAAGCACGAAACCACTAGATGCTGCCAGACCCCAGACCAGGCTGCTTTTTGACAGTGCAAGCTGTAACTGTACGACCGTATGCTTATGGACCTCTCACTCACACTCCGACATACAAATGCCAAGCCACTACATACTGTCTGTCGGTGTCCATCCATAGCCTCAGCCAGGCCAAGACTTGAGCTGCTGAAACGCACATCTCACCCTAAACTCCATGCAGTCTCTTGGACGCCGCTGCATCGTCCTCAGCGTCCTGCGCACATGGGCGCACATTTGGAGCACAGGATTGGCACTGTGATGTCACGCACTGCGACAAGGCCAGGAGACACTACAATGAGGCCCGAAACTCCGTTGCTCCTCTTCGACTGTCACGAGATGTAAAGGGGTGCAACACAGAAAGACGCTCAAAGAAAGACGCTCAAACATCCCCAGTCTGTACGCGACAAGCCCACACCCCGAGCAGCCTGGAATTTCCACGAGTTCACCAGCGGCGCAACACGGCTCGCCTTTTCGGTGACAGCTGCGGCCCGC